AAAAAAAAAACTGCCATAGCCTTAAAAAAGTGATCATAATATTCTTGGGAAAGTATACATGATTCCACTAATGAAAAGGCATTTTATATTATTCTGAAGGTCAATGTCTTTTAGTTTTGTTTTGTTTTATTGTATTAGAGATTGAAGCTAGGGTAATTTACCACTGAGCTATATCCCCAGATTTTTTATTTTGAGACAGGATCTTGCTACATTGCTGAGAGTCTCACTAAATTGATGAGGCTGATTTCAAACTTGTGATCTTCCTCCGTCAGCCTTCTGAGTCACTGGGATCACAAATGTGTACCACCATGCCCATCTGTCACTAAGTTTTATAAATACCATTTGATGATCTTAAAAAAAAACAATGAAGGGCTGGGGATATAGCTCAGTTGATAGTGTGCTTGCCTCCTATGTATAATCCCCAGCACCACACACACACTAAAAAAGATCATTAAATAGGTAACTAAAATTATCTAATTTTCTAAGAGAACATAGCATACCACACACTAACAGTTCACCCAGGAAAATACCTGGGGAGGTCCTCCCTGGAGGATAAGTAATTCACGGACAGCCAATGGTTGATACACTTGATCCAAGAGGTCTCTCAAGGCCCCCCTGGATACAGTCCTTTCCTCTTCAGTTAAAACCTACAAAAAATATGGACTCAGCTTTAGAGGAATACAAACCAGGCAGGAAATACAAGATAATAATTTACAACACCAAACAAAGGTTGTTATGAATGGAGAGAAAGGAAGGCTTCTGTCCCCTCTTGACTTCCTTCCACATGGAGGAAGCTGTCTACAAAAACACTCCTGGCCCTCTCTCCATCCCCAGTCACTCCCCTTCTAGGCAAGAGATATAGCTTATCTTACTGGTGACTACTGAATACATTCAATCACTAGCTAGTTTTGATATGCACTGTTCAGCTCACTCCTCTTCTATCTTGTGAGAGTGAGTTCACATTCTGTTCTGCTCAGTCTTGCTGAGCAGGGGCAAATCCCCTCGCCATAGGGCAGAAGGCAATGTAGTTTTCCAGCACTGCTGAAACTGGTATATAGTAAATATGTCTAATTCTGCAGTGTATCATTAGGAAATGTCTCCATCATAAGTTATCTCCTCCAACTGTCTTTATAAGCAACAGAGGTGATGTTTTTCTGGTAGCTTCTTCTCTTTCTTTCCTTTCTTTCTGTACTGGGGATTAAACCCAGGGATGTTAGACAAACATTAGGCATGCTAAGCAACCACTCTACTACTGAGATATATACCCAACCCAGAGGTAATATTTTTTACTTTTCATCTCTCTTATTTTGTTAGCTAGTGTTTTCACTCATTCAGAACTTGGACAGTAAACAGAGGTTCTATTCTGGGGCACATCTGAGTCCCAACAGTATAGTCTCCCTTTGGTAATTAGCACTCACAGTGAAATAGTCAAGGTCTTGCCTATTACATGTAGTACACTACTATGTGAGGGCTACTCAGAGCAGCAGCTATTGGTGGAACTTTTTCCAGCTTTACAATGTACATTCACATTGCCCCTCTGTCAATTCTTATCCCCTTTCCTACTCGGTTCTTGGTTTCCCTTTTCTTTTCTGTCTCCTGCTTAAGACTCCTGCAACATTGCTTAGCCTCAGAAATAGCACACAGACCTGTTGACCCAGGTGCTCCATCTCAGGGAAATGCAGGCTGTAGGCACTGCTAGAACTGTCGAGATGCACTGCCCTCAAGTAAAGAGCACAGGGCTCTGTTGAGGCATTAGGGAAGCTCATAATTTTGGGCTACTTCTTGGATAATAGTGGCTTTGCGGCAAATGATTATAAACACAGAAAAAAGTGAATAAACAGGAAAGGAACAAGTATGAGGGTGACACAGGCACATGAAAGAGAAGTGAGGGCATGGAGCAACCTGGATGTGGCAGTTAAGGATCACCAGAATATAGGCCACCCTGACCCCTGCTTCATTTATATCTTAACAGTTTCTGACTAATTCCTATGTTGACAAATGAAGCCCTTCAACCCCCTGCCCAAAAAAAAAGATTCATTTACCCATTGTCTATCCTTTGGCATTCAATAGGAACTCCAGATCTTTCAATGGGCCCGTTTCAAAGAACTAAGAGTTATCTTTTGTAACAACCAGACACAAACACACATATTCTCTCTCTCCATCTCTCAATGTATGTTTACCTCTTCCATGGGTGTTAGTGGTTTTTTGGTTGGGCAGAATCCCAGCTGGCACAGACCTGCTGCGATATCCCCAAAGTGGTGGCAGAAAATCAAGCTCCCGAGAGATGTGTGCTGCCCAACACTGAGGAGGGCCTTGCAGCTGGTATACAGTCTCCGGGTTGCATGGGGAGCAACATCCAAACGCACGACGTCTTGAACAACGGCACCAAACTCAGTCCTATATCTCAAAGGAACTCCAACACCAGGCATCAGATAGGGACAGACACCCAAAATGACTACAAATTGTAAAACGGACTGGACCATCTTCTGTTGTGAGATACTAAGTGTATCCGGGCTTAGGGTAGGAGCGACTTCTGGAGTCTTAGGGTTGGGTTTACCTGGATTGAAGGCAGCTGCGAGGTGGGTCATGGTTTCCTTCAAGCACAACAGCAACAACAAGGCTTGAGAGGTAAAACTCCAAGTGATGTCCACAGAGTTTTGTGGCCATTCTGCCTTATTAACAATTTCATCTCTTAGTAGTTTCAATTTCTTCCACTGAGGATCCTTCAGAAGTTTATCCTCCAAGGCAGACAGATTAGATTTTAAAGTAGCCAATAAGATATCATGTTTTGTAATCTGTAAGGAACTTGAGCCTGATCCTTTAGAAATTAAAAAAAAAAAGGAGATTATATATTATATGCAGGGAAAATAAATTATACTTCCTTCTGTGTGGAATGCCTTGCCACCCTACCCAGGAGACTGGAAGTAAGGAAAGAAACAAAACAAAACAAATAAACAAAAAAACAGATGGAGCATGGATTTTTAGGGAGGTGAAACCATTCTTAAAAATAATTCTGCCTTCGAGTGATGGCACATACCCATAATTCCAATGACTCAGTAGGCTGAGGCAGGAAGATCATAAATTTGAGATCAGCCTCAGCAACTCAGCAAGACCCTGTCTCAAAAATGAAATAAAAAGATGCAGGCCACAGTGATACATGCCTGTAATCCCAGCGGTTTGGGAGGCTGAGACAGGAGAATTATGAGTTCAAAGCCAGCATCAGCAACTGCGAGGCACTAAGCAACTCAGGAGACCTTGTCTCTAAATAAAATACAAAAATAGGACTGGGGATGTGGTTCAGTGGTTGAGTACCCCTGAGTTCAATCCCCAGTATAAAAAAAAAAAAAGAAGAAGAAGAAGAAGAAGAAATAAAAAGAACTGGAGATGTAGCTCACTCAGCGATAAAGCACCTCTGGTTTCAATCCCCCTCTGAGTCTAATACCCAGTACCAAACACACACACACACACAAAATAATTTCGTATAGTATTATAATAGTATATACAGACATTATATATTTGTTCAAGTTCATAGAACTGTATACTACCAACTGAGAACTCTAAAGCAAATTATGGATTTTAGTTAATAAAAATATATCAAGATATGTTAATCAATTATAACACACATACCACACTAATGTTAATAATAGGGGAAATTAGGATTGGGGTGGAGAAAGGAGTATGAGAACTCTCTCTACTTCCTGCTCATATTTTCTATAGACCTAAAGATGATGTAAAAAATAAAATCTAATTGTGTGGGACAGCACACACCTATAATCTCAGCAATTCAGGAGACTGAGGCAGGAGGATAGCAAGTTCAAGGCCAGCCTCAGCAACTTAGCTAAGACCCTATCTCAAAATAAAAATTAAAAGGACTGGAATGTGGCTCAGAAGTAAAACACCCTTGGGTTCAATCCCCAGTGCCTAATAAATAAATAAAACAACATTGTTCTTACATTTTTTTTTTCTTTACAGTGCTGGAGATCAAACCTAGTGCATGTTAGGCAAGCACTCTACCACAGAGCTACATCCCCATTACCATTGTCCTTTCAAAATAATGAGAACCAGAATAGTAAGAATATTTCTCTAGGGCTGTCCAGAGTTAGTGTTCTAATCCACTAGTTTTAAAATCTGATTCCTTGGGCTGAGGTTATGGTTCAGTGGTAGAGTACTTGCCTAGCACATGTGAGGCATTGGGTTCAAACCTCAGCACCACATAAAAATAAACAAATAAAATAAAGGCATTGTGTCCAACTACAACTCAAAAAAATTTTTTTTAAAAATCTAATTCCTCGGGCTGGGGTTGTGGCTCAGTGGTAGAGCGCTCGCCTAGCATGTGCAAGGCCTGGGTTCGATCCTCAGCACCACATAAAAATAAATAAAATAAAGATGATATTGTGTACAACTAAAAAATAAATAGATTTTTTTAAAAAATCTGATTCCTTTAGTTCACATAAAACCCAAAAAGGAAATGGATGCTCTCATGGCTTCTTGCCACTAAACATTAAATCACTAACCTATCTCTATATGACTTCCTGTGACTTTATAAGATTTTTGAACCCAAACATGGGACACAAAGAAGGTGATTTGAAACAAAAGCTCTTACTTAAGTATGATCCAAAAGCCTCTTAATAGTCTTTTCTGCCCTCTACTGGTGATGAAAATGAAATCTATGGTCCTTGAAAATAAATGGAAGCACTCCCTTAAAGCAGTGGTTCTCAGTGTGGGTTTGAAAGGGTTCCAAAAATTCCCTCAGGGGGTCTTCAAAGTCAAAACTATTTCATAAAGGGCTGGGGGTATGGCTCAGTGGTACAACACTTGCATGTGTAAAGGCCTGGGATCAATTCCCAGCACCA